AGGTAAGAAAGAAAGAAGGAAATAGCCATATAAACAAAGAAAAATAAAGGCGAATTAGAAAGATACACAGAAAGAATGAAAGACAAAAAGGAATGAACAACAAGAGGAGGAAAAAAAGAAAGATGAATCAAAAGGTAACAAAAAAGAATGAAAGACAGGAAGAAGGAATTCGTAATATAAGAAGAAAAAAAAGGCGGTTGAAGAGGTATGAGATGAAGAATGGCCGAAGGAATGAAAAACACAGGAAAGCAAAAATACAGATAAAAAAGTAACAATTATCTAAATGATGAATGAGAAGAAAAATGAGCAATACAAGAAGGAAAAAGAAAATTAAATGAAAAACTAGCAGAGAAAGAAAGTAATATGTTTGAATGTAAACATAAAGAAAAACAAATATTTATGGACTAAAATTTCTCCCTGAGGAAAACGAAAGAACAGCGGTAATCGCAAAAAGAAAGAAATTGAAAAGAAAAAAAAAACAAAGGAAAAGTAATTTCAAAAGAATAAGAAAAGAGAGCTAAAAAGATGAAAATGGAGAAGAAAAGTAAAGTCAATTCATAGATTTTACTATGAGTGCAATAATGAGGAAGATGATTCTGACAAGGGAGAAGAAAAGCAAGTATTATAATGAAAGAAAATAAATTAATTGACAAAATTTAACAATAAATAACTAAATTTATTATTATTCGTAGTAATATTAGTAGTTGTTTTATTAGAAGAGAAAAATGAATTATTATTATTAGTAGTAGTAGTAGTACTCTTAGTATTATTGGGAAAAGAATTGATTGATTGATGTTTTTGCGTCTTATTAGATCTTATAAGGTTATTTAAAGCCGAAAGATATATTTTGATTTTAAGAATATTTTAGACATAATAATTTTCTGAGACAAATCTTGCTATTTAACCTATGGCTGGGAGGGGGAAGAGGTGGACTTATACCATTCCAAAGGGTATGTGCACATAAAGGTTTACATGAGAGTGAAAAAAGTAGAAACAGGTCCGGTTTGGATGAGATTTAAAAAGTAGACATACGTTTGGTTGCCAGTAAAATAAAAAAAAAGCATTTACACGCGTGGATTGCACGGGTGTCAAAAACGAATAAACAGGATGGTTTAGTACGAGATTCAAGAAGATGGACCAAAATTAGATTTACACGACAGTCAAGAAGATGGACTACTGTCTGATTTGGACTATGTCAAGAGGATAGACATAGGTTTGATTTGCAGGAAAGTAAACAAAAATTAGATATACCTTTGCTTTGTATGAAGATCAAGAAGATAGACCGAAGTCTAGTTTGTACGGTAGTCAAGAAGGTAGACGCAGTTCGGTTTGCACGAGAATCAAGGAGGTAGACAAAAGTTGGTTTGCAGCAGAGTCAAGAAGATAAACTGATGTCCGGGGTTTGCTCGAGATTCAAGATGGTAGACATAGGTTTGGATTTCAAGAATATCAAAAACAAATAACAGAAAGTACAAGAGATGGTTTGCAGGAGTGAAAAAAAAAAATTAGGCATTGGTCTTTTTTTCAGGAAATTAAAAAAAATAGATGTCCGTTTGGTTTCCTGGAGAATCAGAAATATATATATATAGATTGGGTTTGCAAACGAGTAAAAAGGCTAGACAAAAGTTGGGTTTGCGCGACAATAAAAAAAAGTTAGACACTTGTTACGTTGGCACGAGAATAAAAAAAGTTGTTATAGTACAATAAACAGTTGACCAACTTTAGAGAGGTTTACCCCACTGCTCGATCCGGTAGCTGGTGTATTCTTGAGCCCAGATAAAGAGCAGTTCTATGGTCTTGGTATCTGTAAGCACTATCTTGAGTACATAATACTTCAAGATTAAAACTGAACAATATTTTGTTACACATTAGTTTCTTATGTGAACTACTATGCACTACTGGTGTGTGCGATATAGAATAACCGATTGAATACTTTGTAGCAAGAATAAGTGAGTGTTACTAAAATAAACTAAACAGTTTATTAAACAAAATACCGAAGAGAATTAAATTCGTACGTCTTTGTTTTACGTGTAAATCTACTTTTGATCTATCTTTTTGAATCTCGTACTAAACTAACCTGTGCATTCGTTTTTGACACACGTGCAATTCACGCGTATAAATGTTTTTTTGGGGTTTTTTTTTATTTTATTGGAAGCCAAACGTATGCCTACTTTTTAAATCTCATTCAAACCGGACCTGTTTCTACTTTCTGCACGCCTATCAATTGCTGTACCGTGCCCCAGCAAGCTGCCACAAATATATCCAACTAAGACTTGTTTGGTGAATATATTTGACATACTAACAGAAGTTAATATAAAATAGTAAGACAAATTTAGTATTCTAACGCTACACCACTCATCGTGTCCCACATCTCATACACTGGCGTGTGGGTAATAACTGGATAACGATTAAATGCCTATATAATCATGAAGATTTCAATGGTTGGTTCAATGGTTGGTCTTTCCTTTGAAAAAAGATGAGATTCTGATCTGAGTGTCAGTAGTGTAACGGACCCACCGTTTTGCGATTCGCCGAATGAGGTTGGTGCCGTCTCTGTTTATATCACGGATGTAAATTGAAGATAAGTGATACTGTCTTTTATAATAACATAAGATGCGTAGAAGTACAATAAAAAAAAAACTACCCCGTATGATGTGTAATCTACCGTATTAACATTTTGTAGGAGTTGATGTTGACTTTAATATATTTATCTGTAGACCAGACGAGTTTTAAATATTCCCTATGTCATAACGACACAATGCATGTTCTAAGTTGTTTGCTATATATATATATATGTATTACGGTTAGTGTCTCAATATACAGGTAAGTGGTGTGACCTTTTAGTTTTGGCACCGGTTATCGTATAATGTAGACTAACTTCATTTAAGTTTTGGGCCACTAGTAGCCTGATATATGTTTGGAGGTAGACTAGTACTGTAGATATAAGCCTAACACAGAATTTTGAGCTAAAAATCTTTGGTACGCCAGGACGACCTGCACGCTGTATTTACAATAGTATAATTATATAAGCCACCATCACTTTCGGATGCCGATGGAGTTGTGCTCTGGATGATATTTAAGGTGCAGTGTCTTTTACAGTAGACTGATGCTTCTTGTCTCTCCTATGCATAAGACATGTGTATTAAATTAACCCTCCCTCAGTTATGCTACTGCACATCTTTCCAGCGCACAAAGCTTGTTTAGGTAGATACGGGAGACAGGTGGTTCTTTTGTTATCGGTAAGCTGATACACCCTGTATATCCAGCGGAAAAGACCTGAGTGGGTAGATATGACACACAGGCTGTTCCTCCGTGGTCAGAACACTGCTGCGTCCCACCTCTCCGGTGCACAAGGCATGGGTAAGTAAAGAAAACAGACGGTTATCCATTCCAAGGGTCCTTCCTCTAAACCTCGATGAAATGACCCAATAGGAAGAAATATATCGATACACAGTGTCCCATAGTTATCAAATACAGTCATAAACTGCTTCAAGAACTCCAACTACGGATTTTATTCAAAGGTTTTCATCCCGAAGTCATTCATGTGATTATGTATGGTTGCAAGACAGTCGGGGGTGAAGATCGACGAGATGGATTACCCTCGGGGTTCACGAGTTCTATATCCACGATTTAAACTTACTACACTTTGTAGTCACAAGCGCTCCCCTTCTAAGTACGTAGCTGGCTCGACGCTGGAAAGAACACGATGTAGCCGTAAGCTGTAATAATAGTAGCAGATTCCTAGTGATAGATTAGTACCATTAATAATTCTGGACCGAACATTTTTTTTCGGGCTGGTTAACTAAATGAGTGAACTAAATTTTCCTTGTAAAAGAGGCCACCTATGAAATAGATGCATCTCTATCTATAAAAGGCAGTGTGTGTGTGTGTGTGTGTGTGTGTGTGTGTGTGTGTGTGTGTGTGTGTGTGTGTAACGAATGCACGGCCGCAATTTTCGACGGTTTTGCACCAAAATTTACATGCACACGCTCCAAGTTGGCGGGAAGGCCAAGACCGACTTTGCATTTCCCAACTCCCATCGATAGTGGAAATAATCGATTTTTTCATGCTTCTACTGCAGTTCCCATGTAGTTTGCGGCCATTTTGTACTGGCCAGAGTGAGAGCCAAATAGCTGGCTGTCACAAATAAGCAGGAAGATTCTATTGGCCAGCGTGTGAGCCAACAGCTGACTGACAAAATGTTAACTAGTGTGCAAAAAAAATCGATAGTTGAATTCGTCACAAGTGGGAAAAATTTAAATCTGCATGGCACTTTACTCCAATTGGCTCATTCACTTGCTTAAACTAAACGTTGATTTTGATTCCGCAGAACTGGGTTGGGTGTGAAAAAGTATTTGTTGTTAACATTCATTTTTCATTCGGTTTTTCCAGTTACGAGTCCTTTTTTAAAGCTGATCGTTTTGTGTTCATTTTGTTTAGTTCTTTTTTCGTAACAAATTTAATGTTTAGTATAGAGCTTAGAAAAAATTCGCAATGTGAGATAGACAAGAAGTAAGGCATGTAGCAACATCAGCACAGCAAAGGGCACTCCTTTAAAGGCAAGGAAGGGCAAAATTATTTTAAGTCAAGTGATAGCGATTGATGTATGAGTCGTACGATTTTTGAATCAAGCACGTGCAACGCCGGGCCATGCTGCTAGTAATATATAAGTAAATATAAAGAAGCAATATTTACCTTATTGGGATAACCAAGAGAAAGCTAATACAGAAATCTAATTGCTTAGTATTAACCTTGTTTGACTGATTCGTTTTTTATAGTTTATCAACCCTTTAAAGGTTATTTAAAGCAGAAATATTTTTAGATTGCAATAATTATTTTTGGAGGTAATAATTGTTTAATGATACAAGTTTTACTATTTAACCCATAGCTGAAAGGAGAATAGTTGGATTCATGCTTTTCCAAAGAGTACGGGAATTGGGACTCGGCTCTCCGATTGATAATTCTGAGCCATTATCCAATACACCACCCGCACACCCAAGCTTACAGCAGCTGGTATTCCCAAGCGGTCACCCATCTAGGTACCTACCAGACTCCTCGTTGCTTAACTTCGGTGATCGTACGGGAAGCGGTGTTTCAACGTGATGTCGCCGTAAGCTCTATTAGGAAAGAGAGCCGAAGTACTATGTAATATCAATCGTTCTATATGGCAGAGAATACTGGACATGGTTCTACTGAAGGCAGTTTCTAAAATCAAATTTATACAATCATTATTTATCTCTACCCAGATCAACTCAATGATAACAGATTCAAATAAAAACGACCCATATTTACCTATCCACAAAAATTCATATAGACTGAAATAGGAACGGTTAATATTTACATATTCACGAACCAAATAAATGTTTATAGGCTCAACTAGAAACTATTAATTGACGTAATTTAGATTTGACACAAAATCTGAACGTATGGAGCACCTAGTAATTGGTCTAGCGGGACAAGTTTCACCACGTCGAAGTACTCATAGAATGAACCAATATATACCTATCCTCGAAGAAAGTAAATACTTATATACTCAAGGAGAATCGACAATAAATACCTATGCCTGAACTATGTAGATGCTTACAAACTCAAACGGAAACGACAAATATTTATCTATCCCAAAACCAACTAAAGGCATATAGGCCCAAAAAGAAATGACAGTAATCTACTGAACACTGAAACAAGTAAATTCCTATAGGCTCAAATAGGACCTAGTGATGTTTACCTATTCACGAACAAAATAAATAAGAAACAACAAATAGAGTTTTACTAAGCGTAGCTTAGATTTGGTACATGGCCTGGACATATGAAACAATTAGTGTGGATAGAACTTATTACTCATTGAAATTGATTCAGCGAGACAACTTTCTTAATAATTGCATTATGCTTATAGACACAAATCGAAAGAACCAGTATTTACCTTCAAACCAACTAAATATTTCAGTTATGTGCCATGCGTGATACACGCTTAGGCGATCATTTATCTTTTGATGCATGTGTGGCAGGCAGATTTTTTTCCGCAGTAGATTGCCATTGTTTCCCGGAGCAGGTTCCCATTTCTTTCTGCGGTAGACCAGTTGCCATTCAAGGCTATAGAACCAGGTCTGTCCTGCTATTTGATGGGGAGCGGATATAGAAGAGGATTCATATCTTTCCCAAGGCTATTAGCATGTAAATGAATGTAATGGATTCGACTGGATTTCGAACTCAATCCGAGCCGCTATCCATTACCCCACCACAGTAGACTCAAATAGAAATGATCAATATTTACCTATCCCCCAAACAAAGAAAATGCTTATAGATTCAAATAGTAACAACTTATATTTACCTATCCCTGAACCAAGTAAATTCTTACAGGCTCAACTAGAACAAGTTCGATTTTGACATTAAATATTCCAACAGTAATTAACACGAAAAAGCAACCATCCTAATCGAACCCAAAATATGACACCTCTGGTACAAGAATTATTAGCCAGATCGTCTCGTATAACCTTTTATTAGTATAATGGGTTTGATAACTATCCCTAAACCATGTAAATGCTTACTGAGTCCAAAATGAATTATCAATATTTACCCGTTTCTGAACCAAATAAGTGTTCATAAAGTCAAATATAATAATAAAATGATAGATTTCTTTATTGAAAGACGCAACATGTGTTGACATGTCGTAAAAGCAACCAAGCCAATCTTTTAAATTTCGTCATCATATTGTGGCATTTTATCACAACGCTCTCGCCTGATTGACTTTTGTTCGATAAAACGAGTAACATTAAATATAGATGAATCCTATTTTAGGCGATATCATAACGTATATTCTATTTCGCACAAACTCACAATTCCCTGGGACGGCATTTTGACAAAGCTACAGAAGCCTCATGATCAGACGGAACCAAAATCTAAAAACCCAAAATTTCTAGGACGAATAATGAGGAAGATGGGCTTGGAAAATCTGATACTCAGAGGAGAGATTGGTTGGAAACAGCATAACCTATTTAGTCAGCTTAACTAAATAGATAGCGGAACAGGCTGTGGGAGAAATAACAAAAATACAACATTTATTAAGAGCTACAAATGACAGGAAATTGTGGAGAGCCATGATCGCATACACCCTGAGGGGACAGGGCACATGAAAAAGAAATTTTCAAATTTATCAGCAGGTACTTTGGCAAAAAATAGAAGATAATTCCTAAAATGTCGCGAATTCCTTCGAAATAAGGATTCATAGATGTCCGCAAGAGAGACACCCCAAAATGCAAGTATAGAATTTTACATAAAATACGTTAAACCAAGTGATTAATTACTCCTGTTCGAGCATTTGAATTTTTTCTGCTTGAACTGCGTGGAAAACTCGATTTATTTGAGAACATATCAGAAAAGTCAGGCATATATATGGATAGAAATGATGAATTAAGTAAACGAAAATAGAAAAGGGCAAAGATGTCTTCTCGCTTTATTTTTTAACCGTTATAGTAAGCCAATCGTAAGAGAATTAAAACTTCTACACTGGTGGACATTGTTTAGCAACATAGGATATGCAGATAACACCCAGTTGATAACAGATGCCAAAAGAAAATGGAAGAGAGTTCTATAGAACCTAGTAAAAGATTGATTGGTTCGTTTTTTTTTCGAGCTTATCCACCATTTGCAGACGATTCCAGCTTATCCACCATTTGCAGACTATTTAAAGCTAGAAATTATTTTTTTAGTTTGTAAGAATTTTCTTTGAGAAAATAATGGTTTTTTGATACAAGTTTTACTAAAATATAAAGGGAAGGGGTAGATCCATACCTTTCCCAAGGGTAGTTTCGCGTAAGTGAACATAGAAAACCCCACTGGAATTGGAACTCGGCTCTCCGACTAACAATTTCGAGCCCTTACCAATTGCATCACCCGCATATCCAAGCAGTCACCTATCTAGTTACTGACCAGGCTCGATGTTGCTTAACATTGCTCGTAAGTCAGAGTAAAAAGCAATCGAAAAAAAAAGACTTACTTGCAATTGTAATAACACATAATATATGGTTGTTGGCGATGCGTTTTAGAGATACCAACATAGAACAAGTACAGATATTTTAGAATATGGAGATTGTGCAGTTTATAAGTTTTATATCGAAATCACATTGTTCATAGTTATTTTCCAAGCGTAGCTCAGATGTGGCAAAAGGCCGAAAGTAGTGGAAACCCAGTGAGGATCGATCTCACTACTAAGTTGTAATTGTTCTAGCGAGACAAGTTTTCTAACCATTACACCACCTCGAGGTGTCCTAATGATTTTCCAAGCATAGCTTAGATGTGTCACAAGGCCGAAATTAGGGGGCACCCAGTGAGAATCGAACTCACTACTCAGTCGTAATTGTTCTAGCGAGACAAGCTTGCTAACCATTACACTACCTCGAGGTGCCCAAATTGATTTTCTAAGCGTAGCTTAGATGTGACACAAGGCCGAAAGTACGGGGCACCCAGTGAGGATCGAATTCACTATTCTCACATAACTGTTTTAGCGAGACAAGCTGGCTAACCATTACACCACGCCGAGGTACCCGTAATCAGATTGTTCATAACTAACATCATTCTGTTTATATATTTTTTTCTCTTTTTATGTACGTAGGAATATTTCATCCCTGTCTGTTTATAATCATGTCAGTGCTTTTATAATTCAAAGAACTGAAAATGTGAATTGTGCAAGTGCATCTTGCTCTCCAAGAACAGGATATGTCAATCATGACAAATCTCATGCGAATTCAAAAAAGCATGGCAGCATATGTCAACGTTTCTCCACGACACACAAAAATGTCATTTGTGTAGTCTGCTACAAGGTTTAAAAGGTTTGGATTATAAAAAGCAGGTGTTGCCACACGATCGGGACATTCCACAAACAGTTGTGATCACGATGGAGAAGTTTCATCTTCGCTGTTTATTGCCGGAAGAGTAAATCAGAAGTTGCTCTTCACAGTCATTTCACCGTCCTGGGTAAGACGATAAACTACGTCCAGCAGCAAGGCCTCTGATCAGAAAGTTTTGAGGGGCGTGAAACCACCTCTTAATTGCTGGTTTTCTCACGTCTACCCTGATCCGTGGTGGTAGTACATGTTAGGGTCCCGGCTATGGGCAAATAGTTAACCCCAAACTGGTTCCAAAACAGTATGAAAGAGTAAAAATAGGTTTTAATACCAGAAATAGTTTGTAAAAATTATTACCTACAATAAGATTTTGAAGAAAAATTATGACTAGCAATACATTTTTGAACAAAAAAATATTACCAGCTATACATTTTTTTTTAAAATTGCCAGCAATATATTTTTGAAAAAATATTACTAGCCATAAAAAAATTTGTCGGCACTAAATAACCCATTGAGGTTGATATGTCGTAAAACAAAACAAACTAAACCAAAGCAGTTATCTCAGAGAGTGAAAAAGAAGAAAGGGACGATTAAGATAATGTTACATTAGGGGACAATAGAGAGGGAGAATATCTGATAAGATGAAGCAATTAACATAACGAGTCCATAAATATATATACCGTGTGCCACACCAAAATTGCCCAAATCGTGTAACAGCATAATTGTCCACCTTACAAAATGTTTATTATCTAGAAAAAACATTAAAGAAATCGAATTTCTTTTTCCAGGTTTTCGGATGGCGTTTAGCCATCGCGATTATATTAAGAATCACTGAAAACACCTTTGATTTATTCAAGTAGAAAGAGAACAGGTTCAAATTGTTTTCTGTCAGCCCCACTATCTTCTCAACTGATCAATGGTGAGAGGAAAAATCATTCAGGCCTTCAGTAATGGTACCAACATTCATACTCTGGGTTACATCATCCAAGTGCATTCTAGAATCATCAAGCGAACGGTGGATAATTTTTTAAAAAAGAGGAAATAGTAATGAGGAAAACTGAATTAGGAGGCCACAACAAGCAGAGGGATCATCATTTCAACTTAGAGCTAAAGAGATCAATTAGAAAAGATTCAACTTAATCCATAAGGACTTTAGCGCGGTAGACATTTCACCTATGACAATCCAAACAGCAGCGGAAAAAGACTTTGAAATGAAATCGTACGTGAAACATGAGAGGTATCTTGTTACTCCAGGACAGAAAGTTAGAAGGTTA